GTCAGAAACAACAAATATTTCAATAACTTTATAATCATCTTTGATCGAGAGGTCTATAACCCAAGAGACGGGTAATAGGTTTAAGTAAATAAACAGTGAATAATTCAGGAATTACTTTGGCTAAGTTTTAATTCCTGTGAAATGAAACAATTGATTTTATTTTTTTATTTTTTGCTGTTTTTATTTATATTGAGAAATGTCTTATATCTCTTTTATTGCTAATTAAAATGGAAATGAAATGTAGGAGTGAATTTCATATAATGGAGAGAAGAAAAAGCAATTTTATTGAGCACATCATTAAACTTTTTCAGATTACATTTGACTATTTTTATATTTCATATATCCTATTTTTTATGTGAAAAATTTTATCGCTTATTTACTACATTAATTGATGTTTATTAGGTTTTCAATAATAGATATATATTTGAGAATAATTCTAAAGAAGATCAGAAGGGGTTTTGTGGAAATAATGGATGCGCACTGCTGAAGAGTTCCACAATAGGACGAAATGGCCGTTCAATGCTTTCAGGTTTTCCTTGGTTGTCTAACTTCAATTGACTCATGCTTTCATCTAAAGATGTTGAAAATCAGTTTCTGTTTCTCAATTTGTGTTCTTTAATATGATCTAGGAGAATAAGTAATACTTCATTAAACTAACTAAAAAGAATTTCTTAATAATGTGATTCATTATTATTCAAAGTAGGAGCCAAATGTAAAAAAACTTAAACATTTATTATAAGTCTACTATCTTGAAAAATAGGCATTTCAAGTATCTTAGTTGTTATATATATGACTAGTACTTGGTGCTACGAATTGATTCCTCCGAAACAATAAATGTTTGTTGAGGATGTAAGTATATCTGAAAGCTTACAAAGTAGATTCATTGATATTTTATTGATTATCAATCATTGAATTTCTATCATATTTGAAATATATTCATTTCATAATTGGATCTCGTTACATTTTCATTGACAGACAAGGGTTTTCTACTAATTAAAGTCAATTTTAGACGACCATTGAAAACATGGGAGCACTGTACGGTCTTCTTTTTATAGTATGAGACTCCTTAGCAGTGTGCATCCACTGTCCAGCACGCGTGATTCGAACCCTGGACCTTCGGTCTGGAGTTCAGTCCTGTCAGGTATGGGGTGGTTACCCACTGAACACAATGGAAGATGGTCGCGCAATGCTGTGGATTGGTCGAAATTAGACAATAACGCTGTTTGGTGCTGACTCAATGGTCTAGACGTTAGGTGTCGGTGAGTTAAACTGAAGGACCTGGTTTTGAATCCCATATGCAGGATCGTGGATGAGCGCTTCTGAGTTCCATACTGCGACGAAACGGCCGTAGAATGTGTCCAGTTTTCCAGTGATTGTCTAACATAAGTCGTTTCATGATCTGAATTAAAACTCAACAATCTCTACAACTTTATAATGACAATTTAAGTCAGATGAATAACTTTCCTACATAATATTCAAGGTTAGTGAGGAATAATGAAATTTTGATGTCTTTACGAGTCATACTTTTGAAAATATGTGACTGGTATAGATTTATTGAATTCTGAGTTTCGTCAAGCCGTCTTATTTGCTTTTAAATATTTTTGTTTGTTTGAACATTATTTGAGTTATTTAAGAGCCCTAATAATAACTGCTAACCAGTTCGATTTTCACTATAAGATCTATAGAATTTTAGGAGACGATTATTGTTTTCATATTAATTTATAAAGAGCATAGTCTACTAACAAGTAGGCTGATAATTTAAAAAACTTATTCTAATACTACTAATATCAATATCATTACCACTAACATATTAAAAAATTGTGACCAAAAGTAAATGTCCATGCCTTTTTTCAACGAAAACACTTGCTTTTCTCTTACAGTAATTGCTTCAAGTAATCTTTTAATTTTATTATTGCATTTCGCTTAGAAAAAGTGTTCCATTTCTGTACTTTGCCGACTTATTCTCATATTATCAACAATACGAGCGTAAAATGAATTTCCTTAAAATGTTTGACATGATATTATGGATCTTTAACTATTCTAGATAAATAGTTGAAATAATGAGTCAATGGAAGCTAGACCACCATAGACAACCTAGACGGTCATATCGTCCTATTGTGGGACTCATCAGCAGTGCGGATCTACGATCCCGCCTAGGCAAATAATAAAGAATTATGAAAAATATTATTCATTTTTAATTATTTTGATAACGAATAATGCATTTACAGGGAAACTGACCATTAAGAATACAAATGAATAAGATGTGAATAACAACCATTTTGAAAACTACTAATCAACTAAGGAAGTAGTAAATAATTCATTATTCAACTTACTGTTTATTTTTAATATCTAAACTGAAGTTTATGAAATAGTATCTGTGTACAAATAAATAAATAATAATAACTCTAAGTGTAAATTTTTAGTCAACCTGTGAAATTTGAACTGTTTATTTATTTATTTATTTATATGGTTGACTGTTAGTCAATATTGTTTACTTTTTTCTCCCTGAAATGGCGTTTGTTAAAATTAATAAAAACCAATTATTTCAATCAGTATTTCATTTATCTATTCCCTTTTTTTGTTGTTTAGACACTCGTTATACTGATGCTTTTGCTGTTATCAGACAATGACAAGGGAGAATTTGCCTAGCTACAAACACGTGACTTTAAGTAATCATCTATTCATAACCATTATATTTTGGTATATGGTTATTCTGACAAATATGTGAATATATAAGCATTTATCTGTGTATAGATGATGCATTTATAATAGGACAATAACAGTAGGGTGCCTGATACTCGATATTAGGAGTGACAGGTTGATAGGTAGTGTTATTGTATTTATCTTCTCTTAAAAATAATTTTTTATATCAGATATATTCAAGTTATATACAGGTGGAAAGTAGTTTTACTTTGGGGTGGATCAGAATATATTCCCTTTGAAAAACAAACAAACATATAGTTGCTTCACAAGATTCTGCCTAGATTTTCATGTTTATTTGTAGACTGTAAAATACTAACAATAATAACAGCATATGCATAACGATTTTACTGTAGGTAGTTATTATTCTCTATGAGGTCAGGTGAAAAGATGACACTAACCAAAATTGTCTAGGATTGAATATTTTGTTTTCAGTTTTATTCTTCTAACATTAAAATGTGTCAAGCGACAGTTTATTAAAAAAAAATTATTTCAATACACAAGCAAGTCTAATATATATTTTTTTCTAACTGCACAATTACCGTATTTTAAATCAGTGAATGTTTTGATACATCCACAATATTAAAAAAAATACATATTTACAAAGTCTTGATGTGTAAAACTGAAATTCATAGCAAAAAGGACTATCTACTATATTTTCATTACATATATATGGATTTGCATTAAAAAAGAAGCAAGTGGATAACGCGGTGGCGTTTAAAGCTTAAGGCACGGGGTTTGAGTCCCAGAGTGAACATCAACTCTGAGGTGCAGGTACATCCAGCTGACGAGTCCCAAATAGGACGAAACGCGTGTCAAACTGGATTCCACTGCTAACCACTATCCATCTCTGCTTACCATGCTTGTAAATTTAAGTTCTATCGAAGCAATATGCACAGTATGCACATATGCCAATTAGAGACAGACCAGTTTCAGTCCTAAAAACATCAATGAGAAGATTCAAACAAACAATACTAAGTGAAGAAGCAAGTTAGTTAAAGGGAGATAAACAGTTGAACAGAGTGTATATATGTATGTCGGATATTGAACAAATTCTATATAGAATAATTTTTTTTGAATATAATACTTCAATTGTTTTATTATTGTTAAATTATCAGTATTGGGTTGTGGAGAATATTAAGTTTTGGATTGAGATCATGAACCGATTTATGTCAGACCATCATTGAAAACATGGAAGCACTGAACGGCCGTTTTGTCCTATTGTGGGACTCCTCAGCAGTGAGCATCCGCTATCCCGCTCACGGGATTCAAACCCAGGACCTTCGGTCCGGCGTGAGAGCACCTAACCGCTAGACTACTGAGTTAGCATCCAACGGTGTTAAATTAAAAAAAAGCATCCAGGAAATACTACATGAGTATTATCAAGGATTATTAGTTGATTGTATTTTTTTGTAAATTGAAGGCAACCAAGAATTAAGCTAAAGTTTCTATGGAAAATTCAGTATTTTGCAGAAAAATTATGTGAAAAAAGAAATACATTGAATTATTTTGATATTAGCTTTACACTCTATGTAACCATCAGAAGTAAAAGTTTTCTGTTATATTAACACAATTTGAAACCGACTACTAAATATTTATAAATATCCAAGTAATTATGTTGCTACTCATACAACATTAATTTGTAAATAGGTAATAATCAATGTTCCGTCGTTCAATTCATAGTGCTGAACGAATTTCGTCGGAATATGGTTAGTAGACTACGCTGTTGATGGTACGTAAGTGTGGGGAATTACGACAAAGCTCAGTACCTGAATTTAATTCTTAGTGGTACTTTTTATTAAAGTATATCTTTAATACACAGGCAAGTGATGTTACCAGTAAGCTTCAAACCCACACTATTTTGTGTCACACTCAATCATTTTCACGATGGTATTTGAACAATGGCCGGTTTATTTTACTGTAACCATCGATCTTTTGTACTCAATTTAAATTAATATCACTACTTCACTGAAATGTTAAGAAGCTCATTAAATACTTTCTGTAATATTTGAAGCTGAAATATTTAGTTAGTAGATGTTACTAGGGGAGAAAAAGAAAGAAACCGAAATCGAACATTCTGTGATTAGTGTGTAGTCGCATGGTTAATAGAACTAAATGTATGTATTTATGAATGAATTATCTGCCGATTCCCTTAAATACTGGTACTTAACTATATAGCAAAACTGCCATTTAACAAAGATAATGTTTGTAGGTGAGCAATAAATATCGGATACATATGGAAGATTATTAACAAACACTAATAATAAATGCTTTATATATATAAATGTAGCGTTACTTACCAGAAAGAAGAACCTCCTTTATAAGTAGTATAGTCCAAAATATAAAAACTTTAATTGAAAATAATCTCCAATTCATTTTCTTGTTGAATTAATTACTTTGTAGTTGAATATACAGAATTTAGTTTGTAGTTCAAATTGTAATCTGTAAATGAATAAAATGGTTTCAAATTCATTGACTTATATGGATTAATAAGATTGAGGATGATGATCTTTTGAATAACATCATAATATAATAGGCCTTCATAAAAGTTATTTTGACAATAAACGTTGCTTGAAATTTCGAACAGAGTGAGTTTTGTTGTAGAATGAAGCGTATATTATCGTCGTATGTAAATTTATTCCTACCATCTATCTCTTGATCAACTATCTAGTCTTTATACATTACACAGAGCTATTTACCATCTAAAACCGCTTTGTCTAATGATAATATTAGATCTAACTGGAAAAGTAATAGGCTTTTCAGTCTTTCTCAATTCGAATACATAGCTCAAAGGTTGATTTTGTTCATTGGATTTTCTATTCATAACTGACTTGTATTTCTAAAAGTTTATTATTTCTTAGTAAAATCATACTGCTGAATAGCTTTTATTTATTTATTATAATTTGATTGACAGAAGGTTTGGGTGTAAAAGCAAATTTGTTATACTGGTCATTAATTCTAAACTTATTTTATTCAATCTTTAATTAATAGAACTGAGTAAATAATAATAAGATATACTGGTTAAATCATTAGCCTATTAAGTATTGAATAAAAGACCTACAATACTACTGTCAACTATTATTAGATTGAGTGTTCCGATATTTTCGTTCACCTCTCACATATAAAGATATGGTTTATAGTTGAAAATAATAGTATGAGCTTAACTATAGAATGGATTAAAAAACTAATTACTGAATTAATTAATCCACTTACAGATAAAATATGTATATTCTACATTCTGTTAAAATCTAACTGTATTGAAAAAATTTATTATGAAGTGGATCATTCAAATGTATTAAGATTACTTAAAATCATAGTTTCACTAAATAAATGGGAACGAAAAACAAATAGCTTAATTTTTAAATCTCGCGAGTGCGGGATCGTGGATGCTCACTGCCGACGAGTCCCATAGTAGGACGAAACGGCCGTCCAGTGTTTCTAGGTTTTCGATGGTGGTCTAGCTTCAATTGACTCATGATTTCAACTGTGAAAATACTAAATTCTCCACAAAACCCCCTCTGATCTATAATTTTTAAATGACACTAAAAGTGTTATATTCGATTTAACACTAATACAATATGTATTTCTTTCACTCTCAAGGCCTTAGATTGTAAAAATGTTATATTACTGATGATTTATGAAGCCAATAATTTACACAACTCTGTACAGCATTGAGTAAAACTCGTCGTCTTAAAAGTATTAACTAACCTAAAGTAAAAATTCAAGACCGAATAATGTAACAGGATTTCAGCTACATCACTATCAGATTCATTTAGACAGAGGTGAATTCACGATACTGTATATTACTTACCGGCCAACCTTACACACTGCACTCAGCCTCAGCAAACTCCAGATGTATAGAAGTACTTAAAAGGAAGTTAGTGGATCATTGGAAACTTCACTGTCAATTTTTTTTTCATTTTGACGCTAGATTAAATTGAATGTACTATTGAGTATCGCTAATTACTGTTAATTCCTAATAATATTAAAAATAAGTGCATTTTGTGCTTTCGTTTAATTGTTAATTTATGCTTTCTCTTCTTTTTCTCGTGCTCAAAAACGACCTTATTTTTATCTTTCATCACATTCTTTCAACAACATACCTACAAGTCAAACTCGACCACGTCAATAGCTAAACATTATACATTGATATATTATCTTTTTAGTGCAGCTATTACAAATGCAAGAACTTCAACTAACTTATTTATGAAAATCTCTGAGTTTGCATCAAATCAGCTTGAAGTTGAACCTAGGTTTGGGAAGTTACAATAAATCTTCAATTGGCAATTGATAGATTTGTTATTGTGTTTCTGATATTTATCAGTACAGGGTTTTATGGAGATTGCATAATTTTCTCAGTTTGATTGACGAACTGGTATTAGTTAAAACAACACTGGATGACCGTTTCATCTTAATATGAGTGTCCACATCGGTGCTCATCTACAACCCCACATCTGGAGATTTAACGCAGGATCTTCGTTGTTGAATCATGCTAGGTGTGAGATAGTTTTCTGCCTAAACGAATGGATAAGGGTTGTGCAACAATGTGAATTGATTAAAGTTAGACAATATTATCTTTGTAGTTAAGATCATGAGTCAATTGAGGCTAGACCACCATCGAAAACCTGGAAGCACTGGACGGCCGTTTCGTCCTATTATGGGACTCCTCAGCAGTGCGCATCCACGAACCCGCTCTCGCGAGATTCGAACCCAGGACCTACCAGTCTCGAGCCGGAGCCCTTAACCGATAGACCACTGAGCTGGCATCCAACGGTGTTAATGTCTAACCTCAACCAATCCACGAAATCGCGCAACCAACTTCCAATGTACTGAGGTAGATAACTGTCTCTACCTGACATGGATTAGCTCCACTGGCCACGACTTCTCACTAGAACTCATGATCTAGATTCATGATCTTAACTATAAAATTACTAAATCTCCACAAAAACCCCCCTTGTGATAATGAACATATGCTCACTAGGGACTGGCTCCTTGAGGTAATTCCTGGAGTTCTAGTGAGAAGTCGTGGCCAGTGGAGCTAATCCATGTCAGGTAGAGACAGGTATCTACCTCAGTACATTGGAAGTTGGTTGCGCGATTTCGTGGATTGGTTGAGGTTAGACATTAACACCGTTGGATGCCAGCTCAGTGGTCTATCGGTTAAGGGCTCCGGCTCGAGACTGATAGGTCCTGGGTTCGAATCTCGCGAGAGCGGGTTCGTGGATGCGCACTGCTGAGGAGTCCCATAATAGGACGAAACGGCCGTCCAGTGCTTCCAGGTTTTCGATGGTGGTCTAGCCTCAATTGACTCATGATCTTAACTATAAAATTACTAAATCTCCACAAAAACCCCCCTTGTGATAATAGTATCTTTGGATGCTGAATCAATGATCTAGAAGTTGAGTTCATCTAATGGTCTTAGGTTTGATTCTCACGTTCAGGGTCGTGAAAGCACACTTCTGAGGGGTCTCGTACTAGGACAGGATGGTTGGTCGATACTTCAGATTTTTAATATTTGTCTAATTAATATCACTTCCTGGTTTAAACTTTGAAAATTCCTGATATTTGCATAAATGAGTATGTTTTTACCACAGATTTTGTTCAATAAACTCTCGTTTATGAGATTTGATCAGTCTATCATATTTGATTACATCAGCTTTTAATTCGTAAATTTTACAATAGGCTTTTATTGGAATATATTTCAATTTAAATATATTATACGATAAGTTCAGTATTATTATACTTTAATCAATAATTGAAGTTATACATTCAGATTCAACTTATTTATGCATTAACTCTTTGACCTGTTGTAATCAAATTAATTTTCTAAACATGGCTTAGTATTCATCACGCAAAGGTCATAGGTGTTAAATTACGAAATCCTATATCAACAAACTTTTGTTACAAGTTCACAAACACATTGAGTTCAAAAACCAGTTACCAACTTAACGTTGACTTGACAAAATTATTAGAAGTTCTCAGCTAGGGATTTTTTTCAAAATAAATCATTTGGTTAGATGTTGTCTATTCACAGATATATATTTGACCAACAGTAAAATGTTTGCATATTTTTGTACACATGAAGATAAAAAAAAACAGACTTATTGTGTATAACAAATTACTTCGTGAATTGTCAATTGCCAATCTTTTGCTGATTAAGGTGTTTAGGATAGGTATAACGTATGCCTACAATGTTTACATTGACATGCAATTTATAGTAATGAAAGAATAGGTTGAAAGAATCATTCCATGAAGTCACTGACTGTTGAAGTGAGCTGTGGTAATAGATGTAGACAACCTGATTAGTGCATAAACATCAGTTGAAATGAGTTGGATAAATTCATACCATAGGTCTCGAATTTCAAATGGTCTTATGCTTATTTTCAACTTCACGAACTCACTCGCTCTTTCAGAATCATTTATTTATTTATTGATTTGAACACATAAATATTTGTACAAAGGTGCACCGAATACATATGCGCCACACAAGTCACTTGATTTATGTGTGGGCTGGAATAATACACAAATGCACAGATTGAGGGTGATTTCCTTAGGAGGCCACAATCGGAGCCTTTAACCAAATGTCTAATACACAAGACAGTGCAGCAACGTCAAGAGATACAGTCTCGTGGTAACCAGTGAACAACAATACGTTCGTACTCCATTTGTTCCTTCACGATTAGGGAACTCACTTACACCATTGGTTCAAAATCAGGGTTTTCCAACTACCACAGGTGGATCCTCTATATCCACCAACCTGGTTAAAGATCTAAACATTCACTTTTCACCTCAATTTGTTAAACAACACCTGTGTTCCGAGAAAGGAGTGGATAGGACTGCTCTATCAGTGTCTGTATAAGCACGAACATGTGAGAGCATTTCGAGAGGAAGAACAGACTTCTCACCCTCAACCGTACCAGGACATTTAAAGGCATTGCATTTTATAACTTTCTACAATTCTAGACAAATTAACCATACTGAAGAATAATGATGTTTCGTAATTAACTTCTCAATAATTTAGTATATTTTTTTTAACTGCTTTCATTCTAACACAAAAAGATGATTAGTGAACATGTGTTCTCTAATAAAAGAGAGTATAATTTTTCATACTGTATACACTTAATGAATAATAATCTTACTATAAAATTTTCGGCAAACTAATGCCAATACATCTAAACAGACTCCCCACCCTCAACCGTACCAGGACATTTGGGGGCTATTATTACTTCTACTACTCTAGGACTCGTCTTAGTATACTATTGTGGTATACAATCTTGGAACATATGTGCTAAGTTCTATGGTGAATATTATATAGTGACTGAATAAACTAGACGAAAACTGATGTTTAGTTCACCTCTTTAGAAAATCGTAACATTATGGTTGATTGTAGACAAATTTTGAAAAAGAAGGAAAAATTGCGGTTTCACCAGTTGAGTTCGGCT